TGAAGTTTTATTTTAAAGTCCTGAATGTCTATTACTTCTGCTAATTCTTTTATGTAACCTACACCTTTCTCTTTGCCACCCCCTCTTTCCCTACCAAACAACCCTGTGCACCCATTTTTTGTGTGTGGACTTGTCATGCTTACACGAAGTTGGAGATGAAAAGCTAATTTGCTATTCAGTTAATTACTAAAACTTGCTAATTTCTCACTGAAATGAAAATATATGTTTCATATTATTTTTCAAGCTTATTAAAGGCTTTCAATACTGAATTGTTCAGTACTAAATGCATAATGTAGCATAACAAGCCAAGTTTCTTTCTCTCTCCAAGCCAGAAATATATTTAAAATGTGGGAGAAGTTTCTACTGAAATACTGTGCAGGCTGACTCGCACAAGCAAGAATGAAAAGAGTTTGTGATGACACTATTTCAGTTCTGCTCACGCTTTCAGGGAATATGCTTAGTATTGAAATAGGTGTGAATAAGATGCAATTTTTTAGGAAGAATTGTCAGATAAGGAGAGTTAGAGAGTTCTAGCAGCTTCAAACCTGTTCTTTCTGTTCTGAGTTCCTGGAAGAAATCACAGTGTAGTTTATTACAACAAAACTTCTATCATAATCTATGGTCAGTTGGGCAAATTCTCATAATTCCTCTAACTGCCTTCCAGACACAAGGAGATTTTGGGGAGCCATGTTTTCCTACCAGCCTCTCAAACGCAGCAGAATAGTTTTTTATAAAACTTGAATTCTTGGGCATATCTAGAAAAGTAATTTTGGGTGATAGCTTCTGCATAAGTGAAAGCATAGTATAACAAACATGCAGATGAGCACAAACATTGTGTGAGAGGAAAATTAATGATTTTGGAGAAATCCAAGCTGGCAACCACGCTCAAGGTAGGCAGTATTTGGTGGTCCAAAGGAGGGTCCAGGAAGCAAAGACCCAAACATACCTCTACTCTGGGCCCTGTATGGGCCAGGGTTTTGTCTGGTACAGTGGAATTACGGCTGGGGGGAAGGGTGATGCTTGGGAAGACTTCCAGGACTTGTGTCTTGGATGAAGTTCCTGTATTCCAGCTGCCCAGAGCTGCAGATCCTGGGAGCCTCAGTACTGCATCCCCGATGCTGACAAAGACATAAATTTTGCTGTGCAGCTGTAGATTCCCAGGAGGGGATGGATTCACAAAATGCCATCTGCTGGTATTGTGGAAACAGTAAAACTTTTTACACTTGTCTTTTTTAATATGGCCTAAAATAATAAGTCATTTCATAAAATAAACATTGTTTTTATCTGCTCTTTATCTCCAAAAAAGAGGGTGCATTATTTAAAACAAACTTTTGACTATTGTGCCGCTTTTTCTTTTAGGGTTGTTTCTTTGGGTTTGTTTTGTTTGTGGTTTTTTGATTGTTTTTATTTTGTCTTTTGGTTTTTGTTTATTTGTTTTTAATTGAAAAAATAAACTTGACAGTTATTATACTGTAGAATCAAAACGTTTGGAGTTGGAAGGGACCTTAAAGATCATCTAGTCCTATGGGCTAGGACACTTTCCACTACATGACTGGACTAAGTTGCTCAAGGCATTGCCAAGCCTGGCCTTGAACACTGGTATATTTCTATATTGGCATCCAGCAGCGTTCACAAACTCTGTACATCCTCAAGCCCTCTTCTTCCACCTTTTGTGACTAATTATTTTCACCACAGCATTTGCTGCGGCATGGAACAACTCAATATCATGGTGCTCTCAAGAAACCCTGTAGCTGTTTAGGCTGCAGGTGGGTATACACTCTTTGATCCCACTTCCACATTAACCTTGAGTTGGAGTCAGATAGCTGATACCTCAGTTCCACTGACAAAGAATGAGGTTTCAGTCCACCTAGCTTTGCCCTGATGAGATGCAGACCCTCCTGGGACAGTTCTGCTAATAGCAAGAGGCTGGGAATTAGGGATGCATGGGTTGGGTGTAGAACCAGCAAGATTTCAGGCTGTACTGCTTGTGCTGTGAGTGAGGTGAGCCTGAATGGAGGTGGCTAGGCACCACTCTAGCTATGGCATCTAGTCTAGACGCTTCATCTCGTTATAGAAGACCTGTTACACTATGGCCTCATAAATACTGTTATCTTTAGCAAAGTTGTTTGATTTGTTGGGTTTTTATCCTTTCTCTCAGTTAACTAAACATTCCTTGCCGGTTATTCATTAAGATGGGCCACACCTTATGCTTTCTGACTGAGTCTCAGTGAATGAGAGGTGCTAGCCCTGAATATACTTAACTTTTTCTGGCTTGCCTCCAGGTTGGTTTATTTTCCTTTCACATTGTGAGACCCTTTGGACTGTGCTTCAGGAGGATCTGCAGCCACTGCCACACTGCTCTGCAATGGCTTTTTTTTTTTTTTTTTTTTTTTTTTTTTTTTTTTTTTTTTTTTTTTTTTTTTTTTTTTTTTTTTTTTTTTTTTTTTTTTTTTTTTTGCTTAAAACTTTTGCAGTGTAGATAAGTTCCTGAAGAAGAGCTGATGAACCTGTTCTCGCTCTGGATCTTTTGTGTGTATGAACTCTTTTGAAGAGTAGAAAGCATCAGTGTGGCCAAAATGTGCAGTAGTGAAGAGAAGCAGAAAGCTGACTTGCTTTGTCCCCTAATCTCACACTGCTTCCTTTCCCTGTGGTGCCAGAAATACCCCACCCTGTACCCTGCTTTCCTGAGGAGGTGCCTACTCTGCTTGCTGCTTCTACCCACCTCAGCATACCCTGCAGCTGGGTACCCTAGAGCAGTTACAAATATGGAAATACAGTATGAATTCCTTACTGTTCAAGTGCAGCTAAATAATTTATTTGAGTATTTGCTAAAAGAAACAAAAAACTTACTTGAAGATCTTTGGTTAATTGCTTTTCAATTTCATTTAACTTTTTAAAAACCATCAGGTAGAAATGTGGATCACTAAATGCAGCAGTATGTGTGTGTAATAATTAAAAAAACCCACAACAAATCATGATAAAACCACACAAGGAAAAACCAGTGCAGAACCCCACCTTGTGAGCTTTTGCACTACACTCACTACATGCTTGAAGTGTAGTCTCTAGCTGTCACTGCCTGAGACCAGTTGGAGAAGCCCTGGTATGTCATGCTGCAGTTAGTATATCTGGCATCAGTCCATGCTACAGCCAAAAAAGGCAGCGCTCCTTGCTGCTTCTTTCCTTTTCATCCGGTGTCCTGGCACTCAAGGTTATGTGGCTGTACAGTGAACTCATTGAGGGGAAACTGATCCTCTTAAACCTTTCTATTTATTTGTTGCTGTTGAATTAACTTCCAGTCAATTGATTCTTTGCTCTGGTTCTTGGTGCAACCGTGTGAGCCTGGTTTGCTGCACAAGCAGTAGCCCAAGAGGGAGGAGGTGGGAGGGGGATGTGATGTTGGGCCATCCCTCCTTGTAGGTCCTTGAACTTAGAGTGGCGGCACCTGCAGCAGTTGTGCTTGCTCTGTGTCCATGCATATGTGTTGCACCTGGGCTGTCTATGGGCAATACAAATGTTTTTACTGAGGGTGTGTTTAGGATGCTGGTGCTGAAGTGAGATCCAAACAGTGAAGCCAAAGCAGGCTGAAGAGACCAGGAGAAGTATGGAGACAGGAGCCCTGTGTGTGAACACGCGTAAGGTGACATTTCTTGGTAAAGTTTAGATGTGAGCTAGTTTGCACGTGAAGTTTAAAATTTACAGAAATGTGACACTGTCTCTCAGCACACCTTGGTGCTTTTGTAAAGTTTATTACCCGTTCTGACACTTTTAACCAGCTCACATTTGAGAAAGGATTACTGCCCTTAGCTGCTAGCAGCCCCCTTCCAGCCTTCCAGAGGCCTCTCCCACTACATGAAAGTCAACAGTGACCAAGAGTAAATGTCAAAAATCTCATCACCTATGATGACATATTTGTTCTAGTGAACAAAAGCAGAACATTATTTGGGACTTAGTGTGTATTTTGCAAGGATGCTGCCACAGCCTGCTGCAATGTCCTTGCCAAGCTGGGGACGTTGTGGCAAGGAGGTGGAGTATTGTTGAATCATGGGCATGAAGTGGTCACTAGTGCCTTGAGAGCTGCTGGGCAGATGGCTGTTTTCCAGGTGTTGGTAGTGAGGTTGATGCAGTTCAGCACCTTATTAACAGCTTCCATCACAGGCAAGATGTTACTGTGTTACTGATTCCACTGTCAGCGACACCAGACTGGGAGAGGAAGAAGTGATTCATGTGCTGAAGGGCACGGCTGCCATTCAAACCAACAACCTGTGGCATGGGCTGACCAGTGTTGCCTACTTCTGCAAAGGAAGTAACACCTGGGACACAGTAACTCTTTGCAATAGGATGGGCTGGACTAGACAGCAGATCTGCAGAAAAGAGCTGGAGGTCCTGGACAGGTTGATCATGGATCAGCCAGTGTTTCTGTGGTTCTGTAAAATCAAAATGTGTTCTAGAGACCTTAAGAAAAGACAGATTAACAATGCTTGGGAACCATATAATCCATGTGAACTTAATGATTCATACATTTGTGGAGGCAAGGTGTGTGATCATGAGAGGTTTGCTTGCCCTGGGGAAGGCAAGCAGATATGAAGTGTAAAGGCTGCGTGCATTTTTGTTATTTAATGGCTTCTGGGAGCGTTTTAGCTGAAGTCCTGCACTGGTGATTTCTTTCTCCATATCGAGGGTAGAAACACTTGCAGCTTTGTTCTTTTTGCTTTCTGAAGTGCCCTGTAAGCAAGATGGGGAAAAGAGCAGTGGCGTTCTGTTTGTGGATATGAAATATGTCCTGCAAGATAAAGCACAGAGATTGCTTCAGAGTGAGAAGAATATATTTTAAGCAGGAAAGAATGAAGGAATTGCCTCTTTTTCCATTACAGAAGAGTAAAAATGCAGTGGGTGGGAAGAAGTGATTTTTTTGGTTACGGTGGTTGAATATGAGGTTATATATTTATAATATGCTGGTACTTCTTTTAATGAAGTTCCTTGCAACTGTTTTTGTTTTCCAGCTCCTTGCAAGTGTTCATTAATAGCACAGCGGGCGGAGCTCTGTACGTTGATGAAGAACTACCAGCAAGCTCTTCACGATGCAGACATCCTGTGCCGGAACAAACCCCACTGGCCCGCGGTACGGTGCTCGCCTTTTGTAAAGATCAAAATGAAAACTGCTTCTCCTTGGGGCTTCTCTGTGTGCTGGGGACAGTGCTGCTGGGAGTGTTGTTGGAAGAACATCGTGGCATTAACAGGGCCAAAAATGTCTTAAGCTCTTCAAAGAATAAGTCTGGAAGGTCCTCAGAATCTCTTCAGTGGTGGGATTTTGGTAGTGGGCAGCTGGTGGTGTGGTTTTGTTCATGCTGATGCCTATTACCTGTTACAGCTTGTGCTGCAGCTTGGCAGCTGAATCAGTCCCTAAGGCTCCGGCAGCCCAGGATGGCCCTTGTGGGATGATGTGTCCCCAGGAAGTGGGTGGCTTTGACAGCCTGCTGGCCAGTGTGCTTTTCTGAGAAGCCACCCAGACTGTATTTCAGGATTATTTTCTTTCCCTCTTTAATCCTAAGATTTCATATCTGTGCTGTCTATCTGTGTCATAGAGGTGTTTCATAGAGGGGTTAGGATTTTTTTCATAACCAAAGCATGTGCTACAAGGAGCAGTGGGCAATTTGAAGCAAGTATCAGAAATTATGTTAGGAGAGAGAAATGGAAGAAGAATGTGGTGCCCATAAGTAATACTGGTTGCCTGAGGTTGGACTGAGTGTCCAACAGTTCACCCCACCTAGGATTACACCTGCAGTCAGTCTGCAGCAAAACTGCAGCACAGGTTTGAGCAGATAAAGCCTCTGGATGCTTACTAGGGAGAGTGTGGCATTGGGAATTGGAGAAGGATTTTAGGCAGACATTGTCTTCCTGTGGAGACTAAGTAGGTGTTGCATAAATGTCTCGGCCTCCTGCCTGAGCAAGCAGGGCTATGCATCTAGTGCTCCATTCCCAGTCAGGGGTGATGCAGGGCAGGCAGAGAGGTGCTGTCTGAAACACAAAGTCTCTGGCAAGTTAGGTAATTTTCTCTGAAGGCTATCTGTGCTGTCACCCATTAAAGCCTTTCATGTTGGAATGCAGTTCATAATCTTCCCCTGCATCCAGTTTGGTTCTCTGTCTTGGATAATTTCTCATCAAGTCAGAAATCCCATCTTGGGTGATGCCGGCTGTGTTTCTGTGCAGAGGAAGAAAAAATAATAACGCACGTTCAGATTTTTTCTTGAAGTGTCTTCTGTTTGCCTGAATCCATGGAAATGTGATGCGTGTCAGTCGTAGGCGGATAAAGGTTTCATTAATCACATCTCTGAAGAATGTTAATTGAAAATGAAATTTGTCATCGTGGCATAACCAGCAGTGTCTCAGACGTACTTCACTTGTGCTTTCATGTTTTTGAGGACATCAACATAAGTTGCGCTGACCCAGAATCTATGTTCTCCAGGAGTTCTAGGCATCTGCTTTGTTTTGTGTATTGCAGCATCTTATCCAATGGCAGAGATTTGCTCAGACATTTCCTGTGTAGTTAAAAAAAAACAAACCCAACACAAAATTAAACTTAATTCTGAGAGTCGCTCCTAGGATGCAAGTGTTCACCTACCGGTATCTTTTGACTTACTGGTAACAGATGTAGGCTTGCTGAGTTACTGGTGAAACTCCTTGATATGTTGTAGTCATTGGAGCTATAGATAAGAGTGTTTCTTTTCAGTTGTATGAAAACTGGGACACTGTAAGGCAGGGAGAAGTCCCCAGTTGTGTTTTTATATAGAGGGTAGACAGAGGTGCCCTCCTGCCTGCTACTCATGGTCCTGCTTGGTTCTTCCCTTCAGTCTGATGCTTGTCAGCGGTATATGAAAATAGAAGAGGGAAGGTGGCAGCAGTAGTCTCTGAAGTATAGGGACCTCTTGTCCCTGGGCCTAAAACCTGATGTTGGATCTTTAGGTACTTTGTCTGTGGACCACCCAGCTCAGTCCTTCCTTGCAGGTCAGATAAGGACATTGCTCTTAGGGCCTCAAAGGACAAGTGCAAACAAGCTTGTAGGCTCCCCAGTGCAGTGCAGTAATGCTGACAGTGATGGCAAATGTGTAAAAGATTGTAGGGAGGTTGTGCAAGCATCCAGCTAAGAAGGTCAGGGTCAGGCCTCCAAGTGTCTCTTCTTACTGCATTAAGGAAAAGAAAAATGTATCTTTCCTGGAGAGAATCGATGTGTACTGAAACTTCTTGCACAGATCACCAAATGATAATTGTGTTAACCTGGCCTATGCAGTGTTTGCTGCTTGCTTTTGTCATAAGCTTCCTTCTTCCAATTCCAGTGGAATGGTAAAGATCTTAACAGGTCTCAGCTTGGACAGCAGTATTGAAAGAATGAGGGAGTTACCTGCTCAGGAAGACTATGTGATACTGGACCTTTCAGCATTATTATGAAGCAAGAAAAGTGGATCTGCTTATCTAGCCAGTTTCTTAGATGAATTAAGCTGTACTTCCAGTACAGCCTAGAGATGTTCATGTGGGTCAGGGGTGGACTTGCAGAGCACACTTCTGTCTAATAAGCCAGAGGAAAATGTTTAAATGCACACTTAGTTTCTTTTCATTGTAAAGGAAGTAATTTCCATAATCAGATTAGAACAGTAGTTTGATATCTGCAGATAAATTCAGAGGCAAAGCATTCCAATTTTGCTACTAATAACAAGTAAAGTAGGATTTATTCCCAAGCTGGCTACCATAACTGTTGGTCATGGATGTGTTACTCCAGAACATGGGAGAGGTTGGGTAGGCTAAAATACTTCAGGTTAAGTGTTGGTACATTGCCCTAAATTAATTATGCTTTTGGGCCAAATAAAGCAGGTGAAAAATGATCTCTGTCCTAGTAAGACAACCAGGAGAAGTGGCTATTATGAACTCTCTCAGCTGCCAGTTCCAGGCAGCCCTGTGCCACTGCCTTTTCTGTGTAGTTGTCTTATTTTTTAAGTTTGTCCTGGTATGTGAAACTGTTCTCTGGTGTATCCAAGCACAGTGGGATGTGTAGTAGACTTTGTCCCTGGGGGGAAAAACACCCTTCCTTATTCCCAGTTCTTCTCTCAAGAAATGAGCAGTGCCTTTGGCAAGGGATGATGCAGCAGAGGGTTCCTGGGGAATCTTATTTTGCCAGAAGGGACTGAATTTCTTTCAGTCACACATGTCAAAGAGTCTGCTACCTCTTGTTACCTGTTCTTCACCTGCAGAATGATTTGGACTTTCAGGTTTGTTTTCAGGTGTATTGCTGCCACTTCTGAAATGATCTCTAGATTGTACATTTCCTTTGTGTGAACAGGGCCATTATGTGAAAGCAAAAGCTCTTTCTGGATTGGAAAGGACCGAGGAAGCATTGAAGGAGTTTCTTTATTGTGTTGCCTTAAATCCTGAATGGAGCTCAATGAAGAAAGAAGCCCAAAAGGTATAAAATGTATTTACTGGCTATTTGGCCGTTGTACTGCTTTTAATCCCACAGCCAAGTAAAATTCATGGCATTTCAGGTGATAGTAAACACCCAAAGGATAGTTTGATTCAGAAGATTCTCCTCTAAATTCTTCTCTAAAAAGATTCTTCTCTAAAAAGTAAACTTTTTTAGCATTATGCTTTGTGAGGCACCTCTTGGTTTTGGTTGAAGCCTCAGCCAGAGGGATTATGTATTTGTGAATTCCACTGCGTAGGCTTAAGGCTGCTAATTTTAGTATCCATCAAAAAATTACTTTTATGTGGGAAGTGACAGAGGATTGAGGAGAGGAAGCTGTGTGCTGCCCTGTGCTGGAAAAATCCTGCAGTCTTCCTAGCATTTTGTTCCTTATGGGAAGTTAGACACATTAAGTGCTAAGAGCCCATCATCAGGTTCTCTGTGACCATCCATACAGGCAACTTTTTATAAAAATGAGATGAGGATTTGGCAAGATGCTTGGTGTGGACTGGTGAGAAGAGGAGCAGGCTTTAAGCTAGGGGTTAAATCTGCTTGAGGATGGAGGAGATGGATGAAGAACACAAGGAATGTTTAAACACATCTCTGTTAACTGTTTTTGATGGGAAAGCATGGTCTGAAGACTTCTGGAGGCAGGGTCAAAATGGAGATGGGTAGGATCAGGAGAAGTATGTAACAAACTGCTGCCCTGGATGCTCTTGGGGAGCAGAATCATTTTGGAAGGGAGATGGGCACTGGAAGAGCACCTTGGCATGTGACTGGTTATAGTGGGCGCTGCCATTCAGGTTTCCTATGGGCACTGGAGAATGCAGGATGTCTTGGATGTTGCAAGCTTCTTGGCATCTAGAAACTGTGAAGTTTGTGCATCTGTGTTCACATAAACATAAATATCTATGTTGTAATTATTATATTTTCTTTTTTTTTTCTCTCTAATTGACTAGATAATGTGTGAGATGTTTTTCCCAGCCTTTGAAAATGTGCATGATAGTCTAACAGCACCTTTCTCTAGTCGAACATCCCATACAAGATTGAAACCTGCATTTCTGAGTAGCATAAACACACAGTCAGCTGTGGAAGATAACTCTGTTGCTGGGTCCTCAAAGGTAAAGCAAACATGTTCAACATAAAAATAGCAAAAATAGTATATGGATCTTTCTGGTCTGTGTGACATTGTCTGCAACTGAGTGGGCTTGGTGGTAAATCTGGTAAGCCTGTTCTCTTCATTGCTATCAGATCTCTTATTGGGATGTACTTCCTCAGAAAAATAAGAGAGTGAACCTTTTTCTTCAGAAAACAATGTGATGCCTTCAAGTGGGGTCAGTTGTGTTTGTGTTTTTTCTGCTGAAGATCTTAGTCTGACAGGAACATAATTTCTAGAGGCTGGAGCTGTAGGGACAGGCATGGCCCTACTTCATGCAATTGGGAAGTGACCTTTGATACAGACCTTTCTCAGTTGTTAGGCTCCTTGTGGGAACATTGATCTATTGCTAATAAAACTGACAGATAAAAACAAACCAAAGTTGTCTTATGATGTATATAACTGTTCTTATTCTTTTAGGATACTATGTTCAGGTTAACAAAAACCCCGTCCCAAGAATCTGATGTATTCAGAAGCACTGAGTCCTCTGTTACCCATCATGTTCTGGATCTCTACTTTGATGAGAACAAGAAGTCTTTGGGAGCTATTCTCTCCAGTTTACCTGGGGTTGGCTTAAAAAGAAAGCTGTCCAGTGATACGAGGGATTTGCAGAGTTTGGATGTCCCCAATAAGATTCTTAAAAAAGGTTTGTGTTGTGACTTAGAAAAGTGATTTCTCTTGCACATACTGTAAAACTATAAACTTTTTTACTCTCCTCTTTTTATAGGAGTCAATAAAACGTTCCCTACAGGAATTGGGATAATATTTTATTCTCTGGTGTGTCTGTTTCTGCTCTGACAACGTATTTACCTTATTCCAGAGCAGCTTAAGTTCACTGACTGAAAGCTGTATTGTTCTTTCTCAAGTGGGCTATTTCCAATGTAATATGTGTATAATGCACTTGCAGTTTAGTCTTCATGTTGGTAGTGCCATTTCCATTTTCTAGGTCTCAGCTGTAGCTGAACTTTATTGTCTTTCTATATGATTGAAAGATGGAGTAAGCCTGGAAACTAATCCTTAACTGGCATTAGAAATGGTCACATGCAACTTTACATGAAATTTTCCAAGTAAACAAAGAAGCCTTTTAATGGGTAATAAGCCCCCACCCCCCAGTTTTCTGTTACTTGATAGCTGTGTTTACAATTTGCGTGCTTCTCAAGCTTCTAACAAAGACCTCCAGAGTGGCTTTAGTGCTCAGGGCTAAAAATGCTGAAGGCAATACTTTACTGAGTAGTGTAATAATTGGTTAACATAGACTTTGAAAATGTTGCTGTGCTGGTATGACTTTTTTCCCTTAGAGATAAAAAAAACCCAACCTACACCTCGATGAGTTTGACTTGTGCCTGAAAATGTTGCAAGTCTTCAAGTACAGCTGTCTGTCTTTGACCTCTACAAAAGATCAATAATATGGCCAGTTTTTGATCACCTTGCTGTGGAGGAAAAAACCCTGTACTTGCCTGTGAACAGCAGACTGTGTACATAGATTGTGAAATGTGACCCACTTGTATCTTTACAGGGAAGGCCAGAGATCGTGTTTTACCCATAAACACTAATTTATGGTGTGTTCTAGGTCCCAGTGCCACGTTACTATTTGCAGAATTAACTCAGCCAGGTTCTTGCAATTACTAAATGCTAACATGTGAGATGTAGGTTAAAGATAGGACTGTTTTTCTTTGTAGGCCACATACCACCTGTCCTGTCTGTGCTGGAGATAAACCAGATGCTGAGCATAAGTTATTCTTTAACAAAGCATCCTAGTGTTTTAACTCAACATAAAAAGTAGAGCTTTTAAAAGATCAAGAATTTGGTTAATAAAAAACATGTGGAGGCAGCAGTCACGGCTCTGTTGCAGCTCATCACAAAGATACAAATCGTAAAAAGTTGAGAATTTGCTTGTGTAAATGTCAACAGAAGCTGGAGTTGAATAATTTTTGAGCCTAAATAATGCTGCTGTGAAGTTTGAAGTGCATACCCTTAAAGCGAGTTAAACCCAGAGATATAAACCACCCCCAGAAATCAATCTGGGTACAATTTTAAGTGAAGTGAAAGCGTCTCTCTTTGTAGTTTGTTGAGACAGTAAAACTGTGTTAGCTAATGCAGTTGCAGTAGTCCTTTTAACTTTTAAGCTGTCTAAAATTTGGGATTTCTACAACAGCCTAGTCTAGAAAAATGTAAGCCTTTTTATATTTGTAAGAAAAATTACCCTTGCTGAGAAATCCATAATAAACAGTGATGAAATATTTTGACTGTGTGTAAACAAATTAAATTCTGGACTTAATGTACTTGAAAACATCTGGCCTGGCTGATGTGGGGGTAGTGGTGGGAAAGCAATAGCAGAATATTTTAAAAACTAGCCTAGAAAAACCCACAACACAATCATTTTTGGAGAAGCAAATAATGGGTATTCAGCTCTAAAGTGTATTGTCTGGCTGCAGACATCATCCTCTGCTCTCCAAAAGATCTGCCAAAAATCTAAAACTTAGTTGGGAAGTATGTTTGTTAGAAACAAAACTTAAGAAAAGACAAGAATTGGATTTTTAATGAAAAAGTCAACAGAAAAAAGATTGGAAAATGCAATCATGCCTACATCTTTAATATTCTTCTTGACTACTTAGATGGAGATGTTTTACCTGAAAACACCACTGACACTTCAAGTGAAATACCAACAACTCTAGTGGATGCATCGGACTTTGAGTGTTCCCTCTGCATGAGGTATGACTGCGTTGACCTGGCATTAACATCACAAAGCCTCTCTAGCTTCTGAAAAAAGTTATCCTGGTGTAAGAAGAGTATGTCTAAATCACTACTCTGTTCCTTTTTGCTGAACCTTACATCTGGTGAATCTTTACAGATGCAGTTTTCTCCATTATGTATGCAGTTCTCCATTGTTTATCACTTGTAAAAATGAAAATCTCTTTTGTATCCTTGGATAACGCTGTCACCTGTGCTTTATAAAAATGCAGAAAAAAAAAAGAAAGAGCTAGGACTAATCACTTCTCTCCACACATTGGGAATTGTTTTTGTTAACAGCTTAGCATTTTTTATTCCATGTTTTCATGTTAAGGTTGTTCTATGAACCTGTTACCACACCCTGTGGACACACCTTTTGCCTCAAATGCCTTGAGCGTTGCCTTGACCATAATCCACTTTGCCCGCTCTGCAAGGAAAAGCTGTCAGAAGTAAGTATATGTCCTTGACCCAATTAACAAAACTGCACAAACTTGTGTTCTTCTGAAAACATCTGTGTGGATATTTTCTGTGCTCTACTTGTGAGCTGCATCCAAAGCAGTGTGGCCAGCAGGGTGGGTGAGGGGATTCTGCCCCTCTACCCCACTCTGGTGAGACCTGCCTGGAGTGTTGCATCCAGCTCTGGGATCCCCAGCACAGGGGAGCAAGTCCAGAGAAGGGCCATGAATGTGGTCTGGGGCTGGAGCACCTCTCCTGTGAGGAAAGACTGAGTGTTGTAGTTGTTCAGCCTGGTAAGGAGAAGGCTCTGGGAAGACCTCTTCTTGGCCTTACAGTATTTCAAGGGGGTTTATGAAAAGATAGGGACAGTCATTTTATTAGAGGGTAATGCTTTTAAAGTGAAAGAGAGTTGTTTTAAAGAGATTAGATGTAAGTAAAAAGTTTTTTCCATGAGGGTGACGAAACACTGGAAGAGATTGCCCAGAGAGTTGGCAGATTGTCCATCACTGGGAACATTAAAGTCATGTTGGATGGGGGGCTCTGAGCAGTCTGATCCATTTGAAAATGTCCCTGCTCAAGGGGTTGGACTGGATGACATTTAGAGGACCCTTCCAGCCCAAACTTCTATGATTCTGTAAAAGCAGAACAAGACAGTACTGACACCACCAAGCTGTACACAGACCTCATTTACTCAAGGATATATTTGGCATTCAGTGGAATACAGATGGTTTCACTGGTTCTTAAAAAAATGGAGGCTTCCAGTATCACATCAGGCTCATGCCTGGGGACGTCCAGCCCATAGCTGTGTTCATACCAAATTTCCAGTTTATGTGGAAACTGGTATATCAGGAATGGTTGCTCCTTGGTCAACACTTGTCAGCAGCAGACACAAGGTATCCCATGCCTAGTGCTTCTTGCCAGTAAGCTGACAGCTGTAGATGAAGAAGATACATGTATCTTTGCAAAAGTGAGGATGGACTGCCTTTTCTTCCTGGTAGTACAACTTTGCCAAAAAAGGGGATGGAGTTAAAAAGGACGGTGGGGTGAACCACATAGGCTGAAGTGGAAGTTGTGATGCCCGGAGGCTGAAAAGGGTAAGGAATTTGTACAGTCCTAACTAACGTGTACTTTGGCTTTGGGGGAGAATGGGCTGGGATGAAGGGATGTTACTTCTTTTCTTGTTACCAGACTTAAGAGTTGACTGTTCCTTGTAGTTTCTGGCAAGCAGAACTTACAAGAAGACCGTCCTTACAGAAGAACTGATAGTCCGTTACTTGCCAGAGGAATTATCTGAAAGGAAGAAAGTTTATGATGAAGAAATGAAGGAATTGTCAAAGTAGGCTCTCTTTATACTACTGATAGCTGTTAAAAAATGTATTTTTCAGTCTAAATTACTGAAGAAGATTAATTTGCTTATGAAAATGCACCAAAAGAATGAATTTGTAAATGAACCTGCCAGATGTTTTGTATTTTTGATGTGTATGCTGCATCTAGATAAACAAGTAAGAATGTGCTTGGATGGTGGAGAGGCAAAACAGTATTCTTAAAATAAAGATAATTGCTTTTTCCTATGAAATAACATAATAGCTTTAGAAGTTATTCTGGGAGTAGAATTCAAATTATCATTGGGTTATACTTCAGGTCAGGAAAAGTTCAAGGATCCAGTTTTGTCAGTGACTTGTGAATGTTGTGGTGTAAGTCAGCAAAAAACTAAAACAAAACATGCAGTTAATCCTGAAAAAATGAAGTGGATTAATAGCTTTGAAATCAAAAGGGTTTACTGAATTTGGGGATTCTCTGCCATCTTGCTTTGAACATGGCTGGGTCTTAAGTACTTTATTACTGTGAAAAGTTGTCACCAAAATCTTGCCATATGTGTAAGCTATATCACTGTGCATGTTTTTTGGCAATTGGCTATTTCTTGAGTTTTTTTCCTTTATGGAAGTAGGTTAGAGGGATTGTTTACCTAACATATTAAGGGAAAGAGTCCTGAAATATTTTTTTGTCTTGTGAAAATGGCAAACCTTAAAGACATATGCATTTACAAAGATTGAGTCTAAGGAAGCCATTTGTCTTGTATTAAGGATATATACTGAATATAGCAGCACTCAGAAAAAAGTGATTTTTTAAAACAATTTTCTTACAGTTTGAATAAAGATGTTCCCATCTTCGTATGTACCATGGCCTTTCCTACCATCCCTTGTCCGCTCCATGTCTTTGAACCTCGTTATCGCCTAATGATAAGAAGATGCATGGAAACTGGTACCAAGCAGTTTGGCATGTGCTTAGCTGATGAATTAAAAGGGTAAGGAGATGAGCTGAGAATGTCCTGTTGTTGTAGAGGCTGCTGTGAGCTAATGGAATACTGCAACACAGTATACTTGTCTCCCCAAACCACTGTGGTTCCTTCCAGTCCTGTATGAACCAATACTAAAGTTGGTTACTTCTTAGTTTTGAACTTTAAACATTCCTTTTTACACGAAGATGTAATTTTATTACTCCCCTGTTGGATAATACCAAGAATGCAACTCATCCTGCTACTACAGGCTCCAAAAATAGCATTTAATTGGCTGTGTTTTTGGAAAGCTTGCTGGCCTGTTTGTTCCAGTGAAAACTGACTGTCTGGGTAAGGTTCTCCCTCTGTCTACTCAGTTTAAAAAGAAACAAAACAAAAATAAAACAAAACATCCAGACCTCCCATTGCTTTCCCGAAAGTGGTATCATTTTAATGAGACAAAGTATACACTTGGCTGAGAAGTATGTTTTGCTGCTGGATGTTGAATTTGAATGTTTGTCTTTACTGCTGTGTTGCAATGTCTAAACTATCTACAGTGAGTGGGTTACATCGTCTTTCTATATGATCATACCTTTCATTCATATTTGTGAATTCTGACACTGATGTTTTTCCAGCTCCCTATGCAGAGACTGACTAGATTAAAGGTCCCTTAGGACACAAAACTACTCTCTGATGCTATGAAAGCCTTCAAGTTTAAGTATTTCACAGATAATGGGGTTTTGAGACCATGCTCATGGAAGAAGCATGAGGTGATCTTGAGAGGTTTGCCTTATGAAGTGCAATAGTTGCTGACTTCAGAAGCTACATTGGCAGCCTGTAGAATGGATGACAAACATCGGAATTTTTAAGAACACATTAGGCATCCTCAGGAGCAGCATTTTTGTGTGTGATCATCACTGGAGCTGAGAGGGGGGCAGTCTTTACTGAGGCTTGGCAGCCTTTCCTTGTCCACTCCATGCTTCTTGCAGGGGGGAAATTTTACTTTTCTCCCAGACTGGACAGTAAGGTAGCTGTAAGAATACAGGAGATGCTGCAGCTTCCAGTCAGCTGTGGCTGTGCTGCAATGCTGTTTGGCATGCTGTCAGTACTGCACACAGTGGACTTCAGACTCCAGCAGTAGCTGATGCTCCACAGTCCCTTTCAGGTCTGTCACCAATTTTCTGGAAGTGAATACTTGTGAGAGTGAGGATAGAATTACCCTAGGACTTCAGTGATAACTCTGCTGACATCCCTGCAGGCTTGTGGAAGGCCAAATTTATTTGGAATCAGGTATAGTAATATAACAGAGGGCCAAGGTATTATGATCCCCAAAACACAATAATTAGTTTGTTACATAACATCATGAAGGATATTTTACATTGTAACAGTATGGTTAGATTTGTGTCCTGTCTGTTTTGAGTTACTAAAATAATCAAACTTTTTGAGCATGATGACTTAAATAAAACACTGAAGCACAGGAAACCTTAATCTGCAGACACCTGGCAGGCTGTTCCAGCTTCTTGCACAAGTAAAGAAGTTCTTCTGTTTATTCAAAATTGTGAAATCAGCTTGGGAATACAAGAAGTGGGGAAACTTGTTTTGCCTCATCTGCTGAGACAGGGATACATACCTCCCTTTAAAAACACAGTGACAAAGCATGTTTAGTTCATTACCTTCCTCTGTTTTACTTCTCCATTTTAATTTATAATTGGTAAAAGAATATAAGCTCTTAATGCTGTCAGCACATTTTATGCCTGTCTCCAGGTACTTTCTTGTCTCTCTGATTCAGGTCCCTGTCTACCCAAAAGTACCTCTTCTAATAAAAAAAAAAAAAAAATCTTCACTTCTATATTAATTTCTAAATCCAGTATGAATGTCACTAAAATCGTTAATTAAAAACAATTATATAGCTATTTAAATAGTGTATAGTGTAATACTGCTATAATAAACTAACAGACCTACTTTTTTGAATCAGTCCTACTGGTAGAGCACCAGGACTTAGCTGTGTGGAGCTCTGCTCCTCCTGCTCTTCCTGATTTTTTCCTGTACACTGGCTGGGAAGAGAATAGTTGTTCACAGTGGTGAGCTTGCCCCCTACCTCTCCCAAACCCATGATTCCTGGTAGAGCAGAAACATGAGTAATTTCTTCATCACTCCATTGTAAGAAATTACCAAACCCTAGTAAAACAAGCATTTCCATGATAAAAAATTTATCTGACCCTGTAGGGTTTGGTATCTTGAAATGAGACTAGATATAGTGCTTTCTCCTGCTTAACAGCAGGCTGAGGTATAGGCCTGCAAATGTATTGTGGTGAAGAGTCATTGTGTAATCAGCCTCTCTAGTGAAATCACTGCACCACAAAGGTAGAGTTAAGTAAGCTTGATAAAGTAAAAGTTAATTTCATGCCTTTTCTCAGGGTGTTTTTTTTTTAAAACACAGTACTACTTTAAATATAGTGGATAAAAATGCGTTTTTGAAGAGGGTATTTTGAGTTTGATTTGACTTTTTTTTTTTTTTAAAGGAAACAAATGCAAGAAAATACTTGTTATATAGAAAGCTTTTTCTTTCTAAAGCCTACAGTCTTCTGTTTACACCTTGGAGTAGGGGGATAGCCCTCACAGCCATGCATTTGTTTCTCACTTTCTGTACTTTCCTTACAGTATCTTTACCCATCTTGTTTTCTTTGCAAACCAGATGAATTTGCCACCAGCAGCTGGCAACTCCCAGCATGAAACATGCTTCATGTAGTTTGCTGTCCCTTTCCAACCCTCCCACCCCACAAACCTGCCCTGAAAATGCTGCTGCCCAGGTCCTCTGAGGGAAGGCAGAAAGGGTGGGGGTTGTGTGACTTATGTGAGTAAGCAGAAATGTATTGTCACCAAAGCAGAAACCTCTTTCAAGTAAGAAATGGTGAATTAGGCCCATTATTTGTCCTGATGTCTATAAACACTTGTTGATGACTTCCACTTTTATGCCCTTCTGTCATTTCAGATTTGCAGATCATGGCTGTATATTAGAGATCAGGGACGTAAAGTTTTTTCCTGATGGACGCTCAGTTGTTGATACAGTTGGTGTCCGTCGTTTTAGGGTCTTAAGCCATGGCCAGCGAGATGGATATAACACAGCAAACATCGAGTATCTTGAAGATAAAAAGGTGATCTATGGTGCAAAGTTATTCATACCCATGTATTGCTGGATTCACTTAAATAGCCTTTCCTTGTTGCATTTCAAGCTAGCTGTGCATTATTTTTAAGCCAGTATCATTACAAATACACTAAATCTCTGTTTTAAAAACCATGGAACAAACTTTGTATCTTCTTTCCCTTTCTTCCCTTATAATTACCTCTGCTTAAAGTGTTACACTCCTTTCATGGATCTCAAAGTAGTTTCTGGGATGCTGAGGTCATAGTGTGTAGGTGAGGTCAGAGTAACATTTTAAAACTGGTACAGAATTTAAAGCCTTCTAAAAGCACATGCTCCTGTTGGTAGAGAACTGACTGTTCTCTTGCACTGAACAGACAGTTGGCACATTTCATATATCCTCCCAAGTTTTCATTTACAGAACAGGTCCTCAAATGTACTAGTCTGCTCTTAAAATGGGTTCTTAGGGGCACATAGTTAACCATGCCCTGTACAAGCATCCATTAGAGCTGACTGAGAGCAGAGAAAAATGCAGAGAGGAGAGTAGCTTTTAAAAACAAGTCCTCTTAGCAAAGCTGCTTCAAGGCAAGTGTTTATGCTGGGTGTTGGCCGAAAGGTGAATTTTTGGCCATACTTTCTGGATCATCTTCAGACCATATCTATAAAACCTTGGTGGCTGTTAACATTGAGCTTAGCAGTAATCTCCTGCTGGTTGATGAAGTCAGTTGGGTCATACAGCTCTGGAGCACTCTCACAATTGAAGTGAAAGTCTGTAAAGCCTTAGCACTGCTTTTCTGACCTGTGCAGGGTGATAGAGTTGTTTGCCAGGGCATGAAAGGTTGAGTTCATGGAGGTGTCCCTGCCTTTGAAAAGCTGGAATAGGCAGTCTGCTCAGAGTGAGGGCTGTGCTCTGTTTAAATCCTTAGTGAAGAGTAGTGGAACTCGGGTATACGGGCATTGTTTATAGATGGTGCCAGAGATCCACCTCTTCATAATTAGAATGAGATTTACCTTGTCTCACAGTGGAGGCTGGTGTCTGTTCAATGCCCTACATCCATATGTCTGATGGTCAGGAATCTCAGTCCAAAGATACCTGTTTTATATGCTCTTAGATACTTTCAGATGAGATTAATTGTTCTCTAGAACTGCTTCTCCTTGATTGTGAAGGGCATCTAGAGCAGGTAGATCAGATGTGTACCTGAGTGAGTGGTGTAGGTGAAATCACCCATGTGATGTGCACATGTTAAAGGGAAAACAACCAAAAAAACAACCCCAAACAAAAATCCAGAATCCAAACCCCCCAAAAAACCCACAAATCACCAATTTGTAGTGGTTTTTGCTTATGCTTTTTTTTTCCTCTAATAGCTAGTAGTAGGCCTGTGCAACTAAGACACTGCTTCAATAAGGGTGTTTCTTCATGGCTGTTTCTGGTATTGGGAAAGCATCACTTTCCCTGCTTCCTACCTGCTCGGGTGTCTACCCTCCTCCTTCTCCTTGGCTGTCCTACCATGGCCTTACCACTTCTAGAAAATAGTGCTGGTCTCTGAAGTGCTGTAGCCCCCTCGTCTCTGTGCTCGGTGGCAGTAGTGTTTGTTTTGTTTTGCCAGATGATGTACCACTGTCCAGAGGTCATTCTCTAACAGGGACTTGAGGTTGTGGGTTTGAGATGATAAATATGTCCCAGGATTAGAGAGCATACTCTGCTATTATGCCAGCATTTAGGAATGGATAATACTGAGGCAGTTACTGCTCCAAGAAATACCACATCAGAACACCTAGGGGAGGGTAAAAAAACTCCAGCATCACAGGTTTGAAATCTGAGACTTAGGCTCAGTTGGTTTACATAAGGGCATTTGAACAGCTGTAGTCACTGCATTATTTTGCTTCGTTTGCTTCTGGGGAAGCATATGGACTCTACGATATCAAACCTGTTTTGTTCCATCTCCCTTCTTTTAACAATAAGGTTGAAGGACCAGAATATGAAGAACTTGTCCGCCTTCATGATTCAGTCTATGATCAAGCTGTTGCCTGGTTCACTTCACTTAAAGACAATATGAAAGTGCAAATTCTCAATCATTTTGGATCTATGCCAGGAAAAGAACCAGAGCCACAGGTAATAAAACCTGTCTACTTATGCAGCCTTATTCTACACAGAATTTTAACACTAGACTATTTTCTGACATATTTTTGCTGTGGTTTATACAGTCTAGATTTACTTACCCAATTTTGGTCTGTCAGCCTGAAGCATGGTAAACAATATACCTGTGTAATTTGGTAGCTGAAGAGATAAATCTTAATGGTGTATACAGATAAAGAGGACACCTGCAATTAAGTGTTCAGTTGTTGCTTGTTTTGTGACTTTCTTAGCAAATAGAAGGCGACAAGGTGATGTTCTTTATGGGGCTGGGCTGGTGAATACATAACTGTGTTTTTCCATCTTTTTGCAGAGCAACCCCAGCGGTCCTGCCTGGTACTGGTGGCTCTTGGCAGTGTTGCCCCTGGAAAACAGAGCTCAGCTGGCTATACTGGCTATGACCTCCCTGAAGGATCGTCTGATTGCCATCAGGCGCGTATTGATATTTGTGACTCGCAAAAGACCCAGATAACATGGACTTCCGTTGTGAGTGGGCACCAAAAACATCTCATGACAGGTTGTTCTGGGGGAGGGCAAAAGGGGAGGGGTTGTTTTTTGTATTTTTTTAAGATTCCTTGAAAAAGGAACAGCCCTTTCTGACTGTGTCCTGCATCCATTGATTGCATTGGTTTGTTATCTGGGTATTCACCAAACCTTGCACACTCTCCTGTTGTCCTGGTGAAAACTGAGCCTCTGCAGAGCTGTGCTACATTTAGAATGTAGCTGATGGATGTGAATAATTGCTTCAAAGTACTTTGATAGAATTGATGTTTCTAGTCAAGAGAGTTAAGTACTAGAGTAGTGCCATTGGCCTGCATGTGATCTGAATTTTCACTCAGTAGGAAGAGGAAACTGGACAGTGGATTGAAGAGGTGTTTCCTAGACTTTCTTGAAGGTAGTGAATAGAAGAGGAGTAATGCTGCCCAACAGTATGCATGAGAACTACAACCAACAGTACTCTCTGTTAGTGAATTGGAAGGCAGTCTGTCATACACCCCCATCTCTCTCTCTCTCTCTCTCTCTCTCTCTCTCTCTCTCTCTCTCTCTCTTCAGCAAATAACAGTCTGAGGAAAAAACTGGTTAAGCTGTTTGTAGTCAAGGCATCTGAGGATGTTTATCTGAAAGAATAATAGCTACTGAATAAGCACACTATTTGGTAGCCTTAGGTAATCCCTCCTTTGTGATTTACATGTTGTAGCAGAATAAGTATATACAAAATATTTTGGTTTCTTTGAAGAGAAAACCCAAATCCTAGCCAGTCTTACCGCTAAATTCAAACCAAGCCGCTCACTAAAGTATAATAAACACTGCTGTGAAATAATGATTTCACCCCGAGTATGAGGGAGGCGTTCTGCAGTTTGCTCTGAACACCTGCTCTGTGAGTGGAACCAGCAAGGATGAAAGGTGGGGAGGTTTCCATCTCCCTCCTTCCTGCAGTGTCATGCTGACCTCCTGTTACGTTGGGGTGGTCTCTACTGAACGTGTTTCAAACCGAAAGTATTGTAGTTAAGTACCAGTTGCTGTATGTGACGGAAATCAGTCCACAGTAACACCATGAAAGGAGTCACAAACCGAACCTACAAAAGCACGTCTCAATGCAAGCTTCAGTCAGGTGTTAATCTTCATTTGTCTCTTTGATTATTTTTTTATGCATTGTTTTGTTAATCTCTAACATTGATAGCTATTAAATTGATCGCTTGTCAGTCAAATGATCACCATATGCTCAACTGCCAATGAAATAACTCAGTGTTACCAATTCAATTGGCATAGTTTTGTATAACTAGAACTGATACTACCAACAGGGAAAAAAGTTGACTTGAACCTCCATGTGCTGCAAGCATAGTAAGACCAATGTAAAGACTTGTTCTTGTGCAGAAGTCTGGTAAGAAGAAATGGCTGCTTACCTAAATGGTCAAAGTGCCTGGTTTCTTTGTTAGTTTTTTTCTCCTTATTTGTCAGTGAAGAGGTATTTAAACTTTTTTTTTTTTTTCCACTTTGTACATGAATTCTGGAAGAAGACTGCATTAAAATGCAGTAATTGGGATATATTACCTGCTATCTTTGGGTATTGTAGTTATAACCTCTGTGGTCTGGGAAACAAAAATTCCAGTTTTTTTTTCCTTTCAGCAAATGGCTACCACAAATGGTTTCTGTAACATACCCTGAATGTACTGTAACTGCCTCTACCTTGAACACGCCTTTTCTATTTAAGTGATCTGTAAGTGTATTCTCTGAATTGTGAAGTGCGTAATATACAACCAATGATGTCATAACCTCTAGAGTAGCCTTCTGCAAGTTCTGCTACCACCACCAAAATACTCAAAATTCAAGTTGAATGCATTTCCTCCAGGATTTGAAGATGATGAAGAGGAATTCACTGAAGTATAAGGAATTGTTGTATTTGTGGGGAGGAAATGTCAGAAGTCAGTAGGTCTTCAGCCAACTGTTAGCTGAGCTACTGAAGGATGATTCACAAACTAATTCTCGGACCAGAAGATGGACTGTATTTGATCTCGCAATCCTTTCTGTTTAGCTTCCTGTTCTTCCCATTCCTTTCCATGCTGTGTATTTCTTCAAGACTCATTCATCTTGCTTGTTTGTGTGTCTGGCCGAGTTTTGAGTATTACTAGTTTAGCTGGAAGAGGATGTTGATGGTATTTGTATATTGCTGGTCTCTGATCTTATATGTGCTTAATTTTACAGATAGGAGTGCATTTAAGAAAAAAAAAATATCAAGGTGCTACTAGTTAGTGTCTTCTTGGCTTTGCCTCAGTAAATGTTAATGTTAATATTCTTCTCTGCAAAAGTGATTTTTTCCAGGTATCTACTTTTGAGGTACTTCTGACAGAAAACCCTATGAAATGAGAGGTTGTTTACTGCTGTTTTGTAATGTATAAAGACATTCTACATGGGACGTGACATTACTGTGTTCATGAAGGCCTGCATAGTTAATAGAATGATTGTTATTGAAAAGAAAGCTGAACTGTAGAGGGATTTTTTTTTAGTCAAGGTTTAAAGCAGTTTGTCAATATTTCAATGACTGATGTTTTGGATAAATGATAACAACAAAGGAATTGTCTGTGTATGGATGCAAGTAATAATATTAGCAGCCCAAAGCTGACATTTCTTCCAAAACATTGTATGCTGATCAAATAGCAAAGCTTTAATAAATAGACAAAATCACCACTGCCCTGTGGTACTTGGTTTTTAAGGGGAAGTACCAGTTTCATTTTTACCAAATCACCTCTGCCATATAATATCTGCAGCATCCAGTAGTACCTCATGGGAAAAGCTGTCTCGTTGCTCTCTAGAGGAAATGTCCACGTTACAGCCAGTCTGTGCTTAGGTGTAACTTGTTGCCAAGGTACATGTGGAAGCATTGGAGCTGAGCTCCTGGAAGAGATAGACAGGATTTGTTGCCTTTCTAGCTCATTAAACTTTTCTTGCTTGCTGTCCAAGCAAGGATGCTGGGATATATGATGAGTCTTTTCACTGTGGTGAATGTGGCCCTTCTTTATACATCGTAAAGAGGCCAAAAAGAAAAAAAAAAAAAATCCCTCTACCTCTACACCTGTTGTTCACCTGTAAAATTTCAAGCTACAAAATGATATATATATATTTTAACTTTTTTTGTCTTTCAGAAGCATACTAATTGTTTGCCACTGAGGCCTTTTATCTACTGTATTTTAATATGTTCATTTGATAGTCATCAAGATCTCTTTGTACTTCTAACCTGTAGAACTTGTCATGTTTCTTACTGCTCCTTTTTCCTTCTTCTCCAGTCCACTTTTAAATTGATAAATAGAAAGCTGTACACTCTATTCCTGTTACATTTTACACTAGTGGAACTGGTATTTTGGTAGCGCCTTAATTTTGCAGTTGTGAAATGATTGTATCAACTCTTATCTGGGGCTTCTGACCAGATGTAAATGAGTATGTTTAATGTAGATAAACTTGAAACCATTTTTTACTGTTTTAAAGCTAGAAATGAAATGGAGTGTGTACATATGTATAAATATAAATTATTAATCTGCACCTTTTTGTATCTAGTAAATACAGGAGAAGTTCATGTTCTAACCACATTTGGCACTTCTTGTTGCATAAACAAAGCCAAAACTTTTTTTAAAAATTGCAGTGTTCATTTCATGTGTATTTGCAATATTCATGGGAAATGTGTTTAATTTATGTGATATTTGGAATAAACCAGGTTGAATTTATGTGAGTGTGAGTTCATGGGGAAAGCTTTATCACTGTGAGAACTAAGAGCTAGAGCTGAGGTGAATACTGTCTGAAAGAAACAAGCCACTGATGAGCTGCTGTCAGAAAAGGGGTGATAGTTTGGTTTTCCTGACAGGAGCCCAAGGGCTGACAATTGGTCTGATGAGGCTTTAAGAAGCAGATGACATCCCAGCAGCAGTGGTTAGATGTTGGGGTTCATAAGTTGCAGTTTTAGCCCCTGTGCAAGGAAGTGGGGAGGCTGCAGAGGTTGTGGCACAGTGGGGTTTGCTGGCACCCAGGGCAGACTGTGGCACTGGGTGTGAATGTGAGGGGTGGATTTGAAGGAGGGTTGGTGGGCCTCAAAATGAGGGAGACTGGAGGAGTTGAAGGGCCCTCAGCAAGGGCTGGGATGGAGGAGGTGGACCTTTCTCAGGAGTGGGTTGTGACAAAGGTGGGGTGTGATCATGAAGTGGACTTGTCCTTTTGTAGCTTATTGGATTATTTGGTGGCCCTAAGCATGACCTCACTGGCCCATAAACTAAGCTCTAAAAAAATACATGGCTACAGTGAAGGACAACAAATGCTATATTGTCTAAGCCCAGTAAAATAAAATACCTTTAGGGTGCTGTGAGGGAGGCAATGTTCCAGAACAAGGCAACTGGACATGGCTAGCACCAGTGTACTGGGGGGTGGGACACTGGTCAGCAGCAAAACTCTGATGGTCCTCATGGGTTTCTTCCAGCTGAGGATATTCTCTTCTAAAAGAAGAGTTATGTGAAGGCAAAAGCCAAGCCAGATTGTGGAAAGCATATCACATTCCTCAGTTACATCTTCCTGCCAGCTAAGCTGTGGAGCAAAATTGCTGTGAAGTCATTTTTGTAAATACTAGCCTTTTTTTTTTATTTCCTTTCGGTGTTTGAGTGACTGACCCTTGTGTCTGTATTGATTGAATGTCTGAGCATACAAACATCAGTTACAGGACTGCTCTTTTAGGTTGCAAGTGTGTATGAGAATGTCTATAAATGCTGCTTGAGTTGCTTTGATATACTGGACAACAACTTTTTGAAACAACATTCCTTTCACTGAAGAAAGGTTATCAAGGTTCCCTTTTTATTAGCCAGATCCTTGAGACTTGAGAAGAATAAAGTAACTGCATGAAGTTAGTAAATAGTTTTTTCCTCCCCATTGCTCTGCATGTCCTTTGCTAGTAGATAGCAAAGGGAAGGCAGCATCTCAGACTATTGCCTGCTTCCCTGAATTCTTAGAGTGTGGAAACCTTAGTGGTCTGTTGTCTTGCCTCTAATCAAATCAGGAATCAAAAATGCTGCTTAACTGTCCAACAGGACTTGCTTGAAGCTGTTACCTTTTGAATAATAGAGTAAGAAAGATCAGGAGAAAATCTGATACTATCAGGTGCAAAAAAGAATAAAAAGAAAGTGAATCCATGCCAACACTTTGCTTAGTTCTTCTAACGACTGTGCCTACTACTTGCAAAGCTAAAAGACAAGCATGTTTTCCATTGCATTTACGTTACATGGTAGGAACAAGTTGTTTCTAAATTGAGATGAATATCACTTGCTGACAACTTTTATAGCTCTGTTCTGCCATATGTGGGGTTCTGCCTTGTCTGCTAAATTTGGGACTTCATGCATCCATGGAAGAAATGTCTTCACTTGTAAATGTTGCTTACGTTTTTTCTCATAAGCATATGCTGCTCTTTTTGTGCAACAGCCATATTGGAGCCCTGCTCCTGGGAGGACCTGGATTTTGAACACAGAAGCTTTTGTTGGGGTCAGGCTAGTTAACCTCACCATCAGCAAAGTTATAGAAACAGCTCTGGTCCCCTTTTGTCTACCCAATGTGCTCTAGAGGCAGAGCTGGAACTTTCGAAGTTGTAGACCTTTGTCCTTGCAAACCTGAGGATGGCATGTTGAGAATGGTATACAGCAAGTGATCAAGAGGAGAATCTGTCTTTACCATAGCAAAAGCCAAAGGGAGGCACCTCCCTGTAGCCCCTTCAGCCCATCAGCCTATTCCTGTTCACAACATCATAAAATTCTCAGTTCAGCTCACAAAGCCCTCAGGAGACCTACTACCCATTATCCTGAATCTTGCCTGTGATTTTCTGCTCCTTCTCATCACAACATTTGTTCTTCCCTTGCTGACCCACTGGCTTTCTTTTCAGGGGAGAAAATAGAGGAAAGATAAATAAAATCCCAGGAAGGTTTTGCTGACTTTTGCTCCAGTTGTCAATTTTTTGGCCAAAGCTATACTAAGAGAGCAGGTTCAGGCTGCAGGGCTTCTTAAATCAGAATTGATCTAGCAGGGAAAGGAAGATTTTTCTAAAGCAGGAGGGAGGAAATATAGTGTCCATCATCATAAGTGGAGAGATCTCCAAATTCAATCTTGGCCCTGCCTTGGAGTGAGTACCTCATGTTTTCTGCTATTGGCTGGGATACCTCACAGTGCTGGCTGGTTGCCCTTGCTGGCTAAGAGAACACAGACTTGATGCGGTTAAGTAGTCATGGTATCAGAAAATGCCTAACTGCTGTGTGCCAGCTTTATTTTCTTTTATCTGAAATTATTCAGCTTGGGCAGAAGGAGGAAGATAATCAGATGCCAGAATGGAAGTCCACCTAGCAAGGCCACAACACCAATGTGATTTCCCTCTGTGTTCAGGGAAGATCTATCACCATGAGGCTGCATGGAGATCTAAACCTGTCACCAACATGTCTTTCATCAGTTCCAGTTAAATCACAGTGATGATGTGTGTTACAGAGACCAGGTCTTATATCGAGAGGTGTACCAATCTGCCACTTAGGTACATGTCACCAGAGCCTAAGCTGCATCAGGGGCATTGCTAAAGGGTGACTTCATTACTGATACCTTCATGCATCTGCCTGGAGCCCTGCCCATACTTAGAGAAACACTGTGGAAAGGACATTGTTGTCTACAGGCACATCAAGAGGCACTTCTTCATGTGGAGCACGCTCAGATCAACTTTTTAATTAAATCTGTGTAGACCCAAAGTTAATTGGCCAATGGAAACCAAGATTCAAATAGATATATATTCAAAGAAAACAGAAGTTACTTACCCAGAACTAGAAATCACTATGTAATTTCCCCTTCCTCCTGGTTCTTTCTTTCCCTGGTCTCTACTGGAGGTGGAGGGCAGGAGGGCACATGAAGGAACATCCAAACCTCAGGCACTGAGCTCTGTGGTGGGGCCACAGTAAATTCCAGAGGAAAGGTAAATGCTGAAATACCCAGCCTGGTTTGCTTAAGGTGCAACGTTCCCAAACTTTATGTTTATTTGTGGAAAAACTGTTTGGAAGATAGGAAGTTATTTTAGGGTAAATTTTTATTCTCCCTTGCTTGCTGTTCTTATGCATTGACTCTGCCCCCACACCAAGTTTACCTGCAAAGCTCAAGATTAAGCTCATTTGCACCCAGGCAGAGTAAATGCTCCCTAAGAATTGGATCAATTTGCAAGTAGGCTAATGTTCTTTCTCAGTATTGAATACTAGCAGACACTTGAACAAGAAATTATTGAATGAGAAAAATTAAAAGAATCTGGCAAGATGTTTCTCCCAAGTCCCTCAATCTGATTCTTCTACACATCCTGGAAAACTTTTTATTTTCCAAATTTATATATAGAATTTGACAGAGGCTCTGAATCTGAGCTAGTAATGTGGCGTAATCATGTCATTCATAAAAAGCAATTGATTCCTTCTATAATTCTGCAATATTGTGACCTCAGTACCACAGTGTATCAATTCCTCAGATTAATTGTGCATAAAGATCTTCCATTTTTCCTCATTTTTGCATTGTTTTGTCTAGACTCAGAGCTTCTCTTATTTCTGGTATGTTTTGTGTTGCTTAGAGAGGCCCAAATCGATCACACTTTCCTAAATAAAGGAACTGTAAAAAAAATGTGCCTCCTACTCTTCACACACTGAAGTGTTTTGTTTGCTGTGTAGACAGCTACGAGGTTGTGTTCAGAACTCTTTATCTGAATCACGCGCTCCTCATTTCACAGAGGTGCCTCCTTACCAGATGGTGCTTTCAAGAAAGCAATTTTCTTGTTTACTTTGCAGCAATTGATTCTGCCTAAATGCTGGCTTTGGCCAGTTATTTTCAAATATTTTCAGTATGTGCTAATTCTACAGTGCAGAGGCTTCTTCATTTTATTGTTGAGAGTAGTAAGAGGTAATTCCTCTTGGAGAATGTGTAAGGGCTGATGTTCTTCCAGTTGTAAGACAGCCTGGGTTTACATCCTTTTCTTAGCAGCAGTATCTGTTCCCCTTTAAACAGACGGCTGCTTATTGCAGTTTGCCTTTTGCTCAGCACTCTGTTTCTTCTGCGTCTGGTGCTGGAAAATCTCCTGGCACAGAGGAGTTAAATATTTCTGAGCTCTCACTTGAGTCATCTGTCCCCGAGTGGGGAGTGGGTTTGCTTGCAAGCACGTCCTGCTTTGGAGCTGGTCCTGGAACAGGAGCGCGGAGCTCACGTCCCACATGCACGGCACAGGCAGGAGCCAAGGCACAGCCCTGCAAATCCAAACGGCAGCGGGGACGGGGAGCCCAGCCCTCGGGAAGGAGTCGCCAATGGCACTGTTGTTTTGCCTCCGTGCATTCCAGGTGGAGGAAGGAATACAGGAAAATCAGGGATGGTTTTGGCTCTGCCTCTGTTCATAAGCTGCATGTGAGATGCTTTCTGGCACAGGCACTGCTTGGCACAGAAGAGATGTGTGTGGCTGCAGTGTGAAATCCTCTTTCCCACCCAAATACACAGCTTCACACAAAGTACCTGTTGGGAATGGTTCCTGAATTGTACAAATTTGAGGAGCTGGGGAGGAAGCTGGTGTAATATTATCTGGAGTCCAGGGAAATACTAGTACTTAGTTTCTCAGCCTCTAGCACTGAAGAGACTTCCTAAGCTAGATGTGATCTCTGTGTGTTTCAGAGCCCTTAGTACATCTCACACCTTTATTTTTTATAGCAT